GGTGTCCCCTAACTGCCCCCCCCCCATCAGCCTGGTTGCCTCTTACTGCCGGCCTGGTCGCCGCCCCTCACGGCCCCCTGCCAGCCTGGTCACCCCACACAGCCTGTTGTTCAGTCATTTGGTCATCGCTCACTAACCCCCCTGCCGGCCTGGTTGCCCCACGCAGCTTGCTTGTTCAATCATTTGGCGCCCCTCACTAACCCCCCTGCAGGCCTGGTTGTAGGCAGCCTTCTTGTGAGGGCCAATTTGCATATTACCTCTTTATTGTCTAGGACGGGTGGCCCGGCTGGCGTTGCTTAGTGGTTGAGTGTGGACCTATGAACCAGGAGGTCAGGGTTCGATTCTAGGTCAGGGCACATGCCCAGTTATGGGTTCGATCTCCAATAGGGGACGTACAGGAGGCAGCCAATCAATGATTCTCATCGTTGCTGTTTCTTTCTTTTTCATTTTTTAAAATATATTTTTATTGATTTCAGAGAGAGGAAGGGATTTTATTGAGAATCATTGATCGGCTGCCTCCTGCAATCCCCCTATTGGGGATCGAGCCCATAACCCGGGCATGTGCCCTTGACTGGAACTGAACCTGGGACCCTTCAATCCGCAGCCGATGCTCTATCCATTGAGCCAAACAAGCTAGGGCCATCATTGCTGTTTCTATCTTTCTCCCCCCTCTCTCTGAAATCAATAAAAATATATTAAAAAACAATGGGTGAACTTCTTTCATACATAGACTCTCCTGAGCCATAGGTTATGCACCTTATGTAGTTTTAGGAATAGCCTAGGACAGTGATGGCGAACCTTTTGAGCTCGGCGTGTCAGCATTTTGAAAAACCCTAACTTAACTCTGGTACCGTGTCACATATAGAAATTTTTTTTATATTTGCAACCATAGTAAAACAAAGATTTATATTTTTGATATTTATTTTATATATTTAAATGCCATTTAACAAAGAAAAATCAACCAAAAAAATGAGTTCACATGTCACCTCTGACACGCGTGTCATAGGTTCGCCATCACTGGCCTAGGAAGTATAGATAGTGATGCCCTCAAGGTGAAGAAAGATTGTAAGAACACTACTCTTCTTCCTGCTCTTTCCTCAGTAGGCAGATGGTAGTAATAGCACCTTATTTGAAGATAAGCAGTGCAGCGCAGCCAGTGTGGGTCAGTGGTTGGGTGTCAACCCATGTACCAAGAGGATGCTGGTTCAATTCCTGGACAGGCCACATACCCGGGTTGTGGCTCGTTCCCCAGTAGGGGGCATGCTGGGAGCAACCAACCAATTTGTCATTCATATTTTTTTATCTTTACCTTTTTCTTCTTCTTCCTCTTAAAGAATACCCTTCAGCATTTCATATAATACTGGTTTGGTGGTGAACTCCTTTAGCTTTTTCTTGTCTGTGAAGCTCTTTATCTGACCTTCAATTCTAAATGATAGTTTGGCTGGGTAGAGAAATTTTGGTTGTAGGTTCTTGCTATTCATCACTTTGAATATTTCTTGCCACTCCCTTCTGGCCTGCATAGTTTCTGTTGACAAATCAGCTGACAGTCGGATGGACACTTCCTTGTAGGTAACTAACTGTTTCTTCCTTTTTAAAATATATTTTTATTGATTTCAGAGAGATTGATCAGTTGCCTCCTGCATGCCCTCTACAGGGGATCAAGCCTGCAACCCAGGCATGTGCCCTTGACCGGAATCAAACTTGGGACCCTTGAGTCTGCAGGCTGACACTCTATCCACTGAGCCAAACCAGTGAGGGCTAACTGTTTTTCTCTTGCTGCTTTTAAGATTCTTTCTTTGTCATTTGCCCTTGGTATTTTAATTATGATGTCTTGGTGTGGTCCTCTTTGGATTCCTCTTATTTGGGGTTCTCTATGCTTCCTGGACTTGTAAGTCTATTTCTTTCACCAGGTAGGAGAAGTTTTCTGTCATTATTTCTTCAAATAGGTTTTCAATATCTTGCTTTCTCTCTTTTTCTGGCACTCCCATAATTTGGATGTTGGTACACTTGAAGTTGTCCCAGAGGCTTCTTACACTATCTTCATATTTTTGGATTCTTTTTCTTTTTGCTCTTCTGGTTGGGTGTTTTTTGCTTCCTCGTATTTCAAATAATTGATTTGATTTTCAGGATCCTCTAGTCTACTATTGAATCCCTGTATATTATTCTTTATTTCAGTTAGTGTATGCTTAATTTCTGACTGGTCCTTTTCCATTTTTTTTGGCATTCTCACTAAGATCCTTGAAAGTCTCACTAAGTTCCTTGGAGGTTTGTAGAAGATTCTTGAGTAACCTTATAACTGTGGTTTTGAATAATTCTATATCTAGTAGTTTGCTTTCTTCCATTTCTTTCATTTGTGACATGTTTCTTTGTCTCTGCATTTTGGCTACTTTCCTGTGTTTGTTTCTATGTATTGGGTAGCTGCTAAGTCTTGTGGCCTTGTGTAGTAGGTGTCCTATAGGGGCCAGTGGCTTAGCCTCCCCAATCACCTGAGGTGGACACTCTTGGTGCACCCTTTTGTGGGCTGTCTGCACAGTTTTGTTGAAGTTGAGCCTTGATTGCTGTTGGTGTCACTGGGAGGAATTGACCTCCAGGCCAATTGGCTGTGAGGACCAGCTGCTACTACAGTGGGAGAGCTGCTGTGTAGGAGACACCCTTATGGAGCAGGACTTGCTTCAGTGGGGCTTTGGTGCTCACTGAGTCTGCCCCTTGAGTGTGTTGCTTATGGATGTGAAGAGTTGTAATCTGGTATGGTCTCACATTGACCACTGGGTACACTGGCTCTTGGGTCTCCAGGGAGGTGCAAAGTCAGCCACTGCCTGGGGCCACCCAGCAGGAGCTACAGAGAGATCTGCAGATTCCTCCTCTTTGTTTGGGGTTTGGAAGTGCCCAGATGAGGCCCAGCTGTGAAGCAAGGCGGCTGGTGCTGATGCAGGGCCTTGGGCCTTTTATTGATAGGTTTGGGGATCCCTGACCCAGCTGCAGCTTGTTTGACAGCTTTTTAGCCTGAGAAAGGACAGACCATTAATATGCAAAAGCTTGGGTGGTGTTGTAAGTTGGATGGGGTGGGGTCATAGGGAATCACCAGGGCAGAGCAAACAGAAATGGCTGCCAGTCAGCCCTGCACCGGGGAGGTCCCAGCATGGAAACAATGACCGCTGTGAACACCTCCATCTGGAAGAAAGCTGCCCGCCCCCCCCCCAAGTTCCATCTTTGTTGGCAGTTAATTTGCATATCACCCTGATTAGCCAATGGGAAGCGTAGCAGAGGTACGGTTAATTACCCTTTTTGTCTTTTATTAGATAGGATTTTTCTCGTAGTACCTAAATAGTACCTAAACTTTAGAAGTTATTTTAGTTCTGTCTCTTAATTTTAAAATTGAGCCCAGCTGGCGTGGTTCAGTGGTTGAGCTTCAACCTATGAACCAAGAGGTCAGGGTTCAATTCCAGGTCAGGGAACATGTCCTGGTTGCGGGCTCAATATCCAGTAGGGGGTGTGGAAGAGGCAACTGATTAGTGATTCTCTCTCATCATTAATGTTTCTCTCTCTTCCTCTCCCTTCCTCTTTAAATTAATAAAAATATATTTAAAAAAATAAAATAAAATTGAGAGGTTAATAGTATTAACTAAGAAATGAAGTTATACAAGTACAGTATTTGGTATAGTGAATACTCAATAAATTTTGCTGTGTAAAATAATCATTATCAGTAAGGCGAATACTTGGGAGAATGTGAGCATTTCCTTTAATAAGAATCTTCATGATTCTTTTACACATTTGTCAGGAATGCTGACAGACTCTTCACTTGTATTCTGTTGAAATATGCAAGCTAAATAGCTACTTGGGATATTTTCAAGGTAATATTTTATTTTATTTTATTTTATTTTTAGGTGATTCCTCCTAAGGAGTGGAAGCCAAGGCAGTGCTATGATGACATTGATAATTTGCTCATCCCAGCACCAATTCAGCAGATGGTCACAGGGCAGTCGGGACTGTTCACTCAATATAATATCCAGAAAAAAGCCATGACAGTGAAGGAGTTCAGGCAGCTGGCCAACAGTGGCAAGTGAGTGGGTTCAATTTGCTTCTTTTATTTCTTTCAAAGACATACTTGGACATGGTCAGAAACCAGTAGATGGAGCTTGTAATGAAAAATAATCTCCTGCATAATCTCTTTCAGTCCTAATTTACCTACTTCTGTGCTTCACGTGATTGCCTACTTGCATTTAGTTTGTTGCTAAGAAAATTGTTCCTCATTTTACCATTTCATTCATAATATCTGTAAATGGGTTTTTCTTCTAGTTGTCATGAGTTTTTGATTGTACTCATGATTCATCTTTGTAAGGCAAATTTTCTTCTTTGTGTGACAATGTTTAAGTCTTAAATGATAAATTATACATATTAGAAGATGTAATTATAAATATTTTACATAAAAGAAAATTCTTGAATGACTTCAGTGGCCACCATTATTGTGTTAGTTGCCAACTGCAGATTGATTAAAAAAAAGTTATGTTGTTGCGGACATGTATTGTGTAGTTAGGCACCAGATGGTTGTGGCTGTATGAAATATGTACAGATATTTTTTCTTGTCATTATTTTTTAAACAATGCAGTATAATAAGTATTTACATAGCATTTTCATTGTATTAGGTATTATAAGTAATCTAGAGATTAGTTAAAATATATGGGAGGATGTGGGTAGCTTTTATACAAATACAATGCCATCTTATATGAGGGACTTGAGCATTCACGGATTTGGTATCCATGGGGGGATTCTGGAACCAATCCCTCATGAATACTGAGGGATGACTGTATAGTATAATTGGTTCAAGATTTAAGGAAGTATTTCAAAAGCTAAAATAATGAATTTTTGACTAATTATCTGCTTCTACTGTTGATACTGTCAGGAAAATATTTTCCTTACTAGTCAAAAATGCGAAGTTTTCATAGTGTTATCATATGCATATGATAAATACATATGCATATATACTTCTTAGATTTTACATCATGAATAGCTAAGTATTTTCATTTTGATAGAATTTTATTTAGAAAGTGATATAAATCAAATGGGTGGGGAAAATTTTAAAATTATCTTACTAATTTGTACTTTTTTCATGGACTTTTTCCAGATATTGTACTCCAAGATACTTGGATTATGAAGATTTGGAGCGCAAGTACTGGAAGAACTTAACTTTTGTGGCACCTATCTATGGTGCAGACATTAACGGGAGCATATATGATGAGGTATAGTTATATTACTAGTGGCCCGGTTCATGAAATTCATGCACATTAAAAGGGAATTAATTAGAGTAAATATTTTAATATTGCTATTTGCCCTTTCTCTATAATAGAAGTGTCAGAGATGAAAGAAAATTAGTAAAATGTATATGAAAATCTTTCTCCTCTCAGAGTCTGGGGCATGCCGCGGGACCCAGAGTCAAGTCCCCGCCCACCCACGTGGACCTTGAAATCACGTGAGACCCAGACCTGGCTGCCCTACCCCTGTCAAGCCTCGCCTGGCAGAAGGCGCAGCCTCAGATCCCCCATCAAGCCCCGCTGGGTGGGGGGCGCAGCCTCAGGGTCCCTGTCAAGCCCTGCTGGGTGGGGGGCGCAGTCTCAGGTCCCCCGTCAAGCCGCGCTGGTCAGGGGCACGGCCTGAGGTCCCCTGGCCCCCTGTCAAGCCCCACCAGGCGGGGGGCACAGCCTCAGGTCCCCCACCCCAGTCCGGCACCATGCTGCCTCAGGTCCTTGCTGATTACTCATTATGGCTCGTTACGGGAACCCTGCCTCCGCTGTGGGCGCAGCCATCTTGTGTTACAGGAACCCTGCCTCCGCTGTGGGCACATCCATCTTGTTATGGTGTGAGGGTCAATTTGCAGATTACCTCTATTACCTCTCTATTATATAGGACTAGTGACCTGTCATGCTA